AGTCGCCGCGCGTCGACATGGTCAGCGTCGCCGCGAGGATGGAGCAGCCCGCGCGCGCCTCCGCGCGGAACGGGAACGCCGCGTCGGGAGCGTAGGTGGAAAACGTGAAGCTCTGGGGGCAGTCCTCGACGTCGCACTCGAGCGTCTTCGTCGAGACGACGGTCTCCGTGCAGGTCGTCGGGGCGGCCGTCGTCGGCGTCGTCGTCGGCGTCCAGGTCGTCGTCGTCGGGGCCGTCGTCGGCGCGGCCGACGGCGTCGCCGTCGTCGGCGCGCGCGTCGGCTTCGGCGTCGGCACGGGCGTCGGCAGGGACGTCGGGATGGCGGTGGGCGCGGGCACGGGCAGGCTCGTCGGGATGTCCTCGCAGATCCAGCAGTTGCGCAGCGTCGACACGACGTCCATCTCGCAGCCGTACGTGTCGTCGTAGTGCGTCTGGACCGTCAGCTGCTCGTCGGAGTTCAGGTAGGGCAGCGCGTCGATCTCGACGAACTCGTCGCAGGTCGAGAGCGTCGAGGCGCACTGGGCCGTCGGGACCGCCGTCACGTCCGTGGAGACGCTCGAGGCGGAGGAGATCGTGCCGTCGTCGGCGCTGATCGTGCGCGCGAGGGCGAGGAGCGCGAGGATGGTCGTGGAAGACATGGTGGTAGGTGGTCGGGTGGCTCGGGTGGCGGAAAGTGAGAGCGGTGCAACTGGTGTGGTTGGGCTTTTTGATGCCTCTCCATGCTCAGAGCTGGGCTGCCCAAAATTTATTTTGCTGTTTTTTGGTCTTGGGTGAGAAGGGCTGCCCGCCGGGGGTCGGGGGTGACGGCAAGCGCTGGTGTCGCGATGTTCACCCTGGATTAGGCCTGCGGTCGACGCGCGGTCGCCGACCGCCGGTCGCCGCAGCCGCCTCAGGGCGGCACAGCGCGCCATAGGCGCACATTCTAGAGGTTCTATAGACGTGTTCTTTCGTGGGCCGGGCATGCATCCCCAGGAACCCTGGCGGCTTGGCTGGCTGACCCCCGGCGCTGGCTGCTGTCTTGGCCTGCCGCCGCCCTTTCTTTTCATTTTTAACTCGGTCCGCTCCGAGGACTCTCGCCCGAGGATAGACGTGCGAGGTAAAGTAGAAACAACATTTTTTACTCGGGGAGGGGAACAAAAAGCGGGTGGCCGGCCTAGAGGTCGGCCTCGCGGGGGGAGTTTTTGGCCAGCGCGGACTCCTGCATGGGCGAGGTGATGCCCGGCGCGGGCAGCGGTGCGTCGGCGAGGGCCTTCTTCTCAGCAGCTGCGCAGAGGCTCGACAGCGGCGACTGCGAATCGACGACGACGATCGGCGCCGGCGGCGCCGCGTCGCCGGTCTCGAGAAGCGACGACACGTCGGCCCAGCGGCCGCTCGTCTTGCGCTGCTTGCGCGTCGCCATGTAGATCGTCGCGGCGATGGCGATGAGGATGAGGAGGCCGCCGAGGCCCGCGGCCGCGTAGGACGAGATCGCCGCCGCGTCCGCCTCGTCGTCGTCGTCGTCGTCGGACTTGGACGACGTCGCCGCGGCCTCGTCCGTCGACGAGGCGGCGTCGGCGGTGGCGTCGCTGGTGGAGTCGCTCGTGGAATCGGTGGAATCGCTCGTGGAATCGCTGGTGGAATCGCTGGTGGAATCGCTGGTGGAATCGCTGGAATCGCCAGAGTCGGTGTCGGAGGAGTCGCCAGAGGAGTCGCCGGTGGAATCACTGGTGGAGTCGCTGGTGGAGTCGGTGCTGGAATCGGAGGAGTCGTCGGTGGTCGCCGCCGTCGAGTCCGAGGCCGGCGTCGGCCGGGGCGTCGGCGCGGGCACGGGCGACGTCGTGGGCCGGGGCGTCGGCGCCGCCGTGGGCGTCGGCGTCGGCTTGGGCGACGGCGACGGCGTCGGCGCGCTCGTGGGCTTGGGCGACGGCGAGGGCGTCGGGGAGCTCGTGGGCTTGGGCGACGGCGACGGCGTCGGGCTCGTCGTGGGCGTCGGCGTCGGGCGGGGCGTCGGGCTCGGCGTCGGCGCGGCCGTCGGCGCGGGCGCGGGCACGGCCGTCGGCCGCGGCGCCGGGAGCGCCGTCGGCTCCGGCGCGGGGAGCGCCGTCGGCGTCGCCGTCGGGAACAAGGGGTCGACGCCGCACTGGTGCGTGACGGCGTCGTCGAGGGTCACGCGCGTGCGGCCCGGCGACGAGAGCGAGAGCGAGAGCTTGGACGACATGAGCTGGCACGTCGCGCCGAGGGGGTACTTGGCCGCGACGTCGTCGCAGACCACCTTGTCGTACTCGGAGATCGTGTCCCAGGGCATGCCGCCCTCGTCGAGGTGGCTCGAGAACTTGGTGTGCGTGCAGCAGTCCCAGGCCGTCGGCGCGGACGACGGCGC